TATGTTATAATCAATAGTTCGATTAGAAAATCATCAAGAGGGTTCACAATCCATATATCAACTGCATTCCATAGAAAATGGATGATTTCTTCCTTTTTTAAAGAAAATGGATGATTATTTACTTATGAACATCCACTATCAGAAATAAGCTATGGTACAATGGCCAAATCCTGCAAAAATGGCTTGTGGAAACAATGATTCGCCAAGAAAAATCTGACCGAATAATTAGTCGGACAATTGTTGGAAATCTCTAAGATATATTCATCGAAGATCTGTTAGAAGCCTTTGTATGAATGATCCAACTGATGGACTATGTCTATCTTCCTTATTAATTTTATTTTCTAGTCAAGAGCATTTATGCTATTCAAGCCTCACATGTACCTTTTAATTTAATCTAAATGGTTACAAATTCAAGTGTACAATGAACCTTTGAATATAAAGCCAAAATGTTTTTTCCCCTATTTTCTACTATTAAAATAGCAGGTATTGTGTTTTTTTTTTCAGTTTCTTCCTCGTAGTTTTTCTTAGTTTATCAAATCATAGCGTTTCTTTTAAATCATCGTGTTTCTTTCAAACCTTTCTTGATAAAATTGTTACATTTATACTCTTTTTTTTTTGTCAACCATACACTTATACTTTTAAACTTAATTTTCATTTTAGAGGTTGGGATATTCTCTAACGGTGACTTTTGTTTGTAGCATGCTAGTGTACTAATCACTCCAAGTTCTTACTTAATCCAAGTATATATTTTTTCTTTATGCTTTTTGTATATAGATTCCCCCTTAATCTTGTTTTCTTTTTGCCATGTTATTTTCTTTCGCAATAAAGATTGTATAATTGTTGAGTTTCCATGTTCTAGTAAGTGACAACCTTGTTTAACCATTATACAAAACATTGTTAGACCCTGTTATTGAAACTATGATTGTATTTATTCCAAGGTTTATTGACATGAATTGACCCAATCATGCACAGAGTAAATCTTTGAACACACAAAAACATACTTGTATTTGTCTAGAAGAACTGTCAATTATGTCTTTTAAAAGAATGGATGATTTTTTCTTTACCTACCATTTATTTCTAATTTCATTTTTTATGTTACAGATGATGTTGAACCTAAGAAAATAAAATACAAGTTAGAAAGTTATGTCCATTGGGAAGTCAATAGAGCTAAAACTTATTTTCAAAAGTAATTGAGAAGATTAAACACCTCTTTGAGAGCTAGAGATTCTTCCGGTTCAATCTTACACTACATCAAAAGCCTACACAATAGCGTGTTTAGTAAAGCTCATCAAACCTATGAATTCTTCCATAATTTGACCACAAAAACCCTTGGGTAGGCTGTTCTATAAGTGAGAATTTCTCACTCTGAAATTTAATTTTAATTTCAGACAGACTAGCACCTATTGATCTTAAACATCATTTGATTGTGGAAGTGAATTTTTCTTACATGCCGCCCAAAATAACTTTTTGCTACTCCTTGCATAGCTTAATCCATAAGACTATACATAAATCCTTACATGTCCCGACAAGTCCATGAAGGCGTTTCCATGATTGCAATAAGCTAACGTTGATTTTCTAAGCTGCCATATACTCAATGGTCTTGGTTCATTGGAAAACACTTGAATTAGAAAGCATCGATAAGCAAAATAGAACAGAAAAAACAATTTATATATATCTTCTCGCCTTTTCATAGTTGACATAGAGAACAACGTCGCTTAGGCTAGTCCAAGAACCATTACTGAACAAAACATGCAGCAAAAAACCAAACATCAAGGCCAAAAGCTTAGTAACAATCACAAAACCAAACAACTTATACAAAATTTCGCACACGCTCACGCAAGTAATAAGGACCTGCAGAGAGAACATCATCATATATAAACCTAGAATATTCCAAAATTCTACTGAGGAACTAAGAGCAAGCTATTTCTGGATTCACAACCCAGCCTGCATAGAAAAGTTGTAATCGGTAAGCATCTCGATATATATATAAAACCACTACGTATATTACTTTGGTACGAAAAAACTAATATTATATTTGAATATTTAATTTAATTGTAGTTGATTTATTTTTAAAAACAAAAGACTTATATATATATGTAATTAAGCTAGACATAACAATGTTCGAGCTTTTAAACCCGAGTGAAGATAAATTCCTCAAAGATATCATCTTGGCTTACATTATAGCTAGGCGAAATACCATTGCCTCATCACTCAATTAGTTCTTCTGGTTTCTTTCTGAAAACGCTAGAGTGGTAACCAAGATTCGCCAAAAGATAAGCACGAAAATACCAAAACCCGAAAGAAACCCATCTTTTGATCCCACCGAACTTAACAAGTTGGTGTATTTACATGGCACGTTTTATAAATCAATGAGGTTTATAGCCACCAGTTCCATCCGAGTGCAAGTTTTCTATACAAAAAAATGGCGCGTTTGAACTTGATAAATCCACACAGTGTCTTTCATATACAAAAGAAATATGTAGATTTTTCAATTTTTGAAAGACTCACATAATATTTTATTATATCGATAAACCTCCAAAAGTTTGATTGATAACAAACATAACAATAATTCTTGTATCTTCTTATAATAGAAATTATCAAAATCTTTAGATACATACATTTATATGTCGAAAAACATATCGTGTATTCTGTAAAATTTGTATGTTTGTAAACTTGTAACTTGCACGCTTATAACAAATTTCAGTTTTAATTAAAAACAAATCTCAATTTTAATTAAAGTAATATGAATATAATTAAGCGATTTAAAAAAAAAAATTGTATGATCAATCACATTTCAAATATGGTATAATGACCATTAATACAATTAATAAAGTAATTTAAATTGACATCGATAAATGATTCATCGTCAAAACGTCGTAGACAGTCAAGTGAAATCTAATCCACGAAATAATTTGATCTATGGGCAACATCATTGTGGGTAAGACATGTATTTATGAGTTTATGTTAAAAGTTAATGAAAATATATAAAATTTTCACCATAACATATAAAATTAATTAAAATATTTTGATTGGTTATGTTGATGTGTCTCTTAAATTCAATTTTTTTTTAAACAATTTAACAGAGTGTTTGGCCCTACGCTTTTATACCTTCTTGGGGGAAGCGTCTGGCAAAAGAATTCACTAGTGGTAGAGCGGTCGGCTGTTAACTGATTGGTCAAACCG